GCATATAACTCGGGACTGTCGACCGATACGGTAATAAGTTCATACATATCCTCCATCGCCCAGAAACGCACAGAAGCGACCCGATGAATGGGATGGATCGGACAGATAGGTCAATCGTGAATTGTGAAAGAGCATCAAATTCGGCCCTTATCCCCAGTGTTGAGTGTCCGGCAGAATGGGTGCACGCGGCCGAGCAGAGAGTTCAGTGCTAAGAATGCAAGCCACACCATGTGGACTGGCTGTACCCGGGGGCATCCTATACGTACTGTCGAGCATGAACCTCAGCCTCCAGTCCCGTGGCCGAAAAACGAAGGCTCTCCTGCACGAGACACGGACAGGAACGTGACGAAATGATGGCGAAGTTTACGCGTTGTTGGACAACAGTCATTCACTCTTCCCTTTCTCCCCGTCCACAATGAAAGAATGTATATTCGACAGAGGTCGCATGAGCACTTGTGCCCACGCTAAACTAGCCACGACAAGATCATCTCCAACTCCAAGCGCGCTTCCCCACGTTGGTGTTCCTCACGATTGCGAAAGACGGCCACCATCATTGGCCAGCCCGGCTCGTAGTCAGGGTGCCATACCATCACTTTCACGCTGCTCAAGCCGCACGCCAATGGAACGTGCCACATGACCTTTCCACCACGCCTAAACACCAGTGGAGCAGAATCGGTTTGACGCAGAGTGTAGCGGTATCCAATGCTACCATTGACCATGGTCCTCGTCAGCTCGAGATTCTAGTTGTGCTGTCACCATGATGACCCTTCTTTTAGCTTCTCCTTGTCTTCTCCCTTTCTTTTCACAGCTTGTTAAGGCTTGTCTCGCAAAGAAAAAGGCAGGGACCGGGCTCGACAAGGCCATGCAGCAGCCACATCTTGAAATTACTAGTTCCAAAGGGGTACGCACTTCTGCTGAGGCTCTTTGCAGGCTTGGAGCCAAGAAATGCTTGTGTCTGTCTTTGACCACCTGCAGAAGCGGCTGTACCCCGTCTAGTCTAGTCTGGTCGCTGTGGCGCAAGCGTGGGGGCGTGTGTATAAGACACTGTGGCGCAGCTTTCTGTGGCTTATCTCCCCTCACTTGTGGCGATTTCGCTGACGACGCCACAGTCTCAGTGGCGTCTGGACCTCTGCGATCTGCGTCTTTCCGCAGAGATCGGCGCTGCTTGATAAATTTATCGGCGAATCAACCTAGAGCTAGACGTGGGCCTAACTACACCTCATGTAAGTGCTACGCATTGGCTTTCTCGACCCTTTCGCGAAAAAAGGCCCACGACGAAGAAAGAGGATTTTTCAGCGTTGGAATTGATACGCGCGTCCCCCCAGCACGGCCGCAAGCCTTCATCTCATATTGCGGAATATGTGCGTACGTATTGAATCATTTGCTGTTGGTTCAATAGACAGGCCCGCCGCCCGTCAGGAGATACTGCTCCGGCCCTGCGGCTCCTGGACCCATTGCCCAGAGCTCCTCTGCCCAATCCGTGTTGTTTGATACGTGGGTATGGGGGCAGCGGTCCCTCCACCCTGGGCCAATTTCAAGCGAACCAAGCCTTTGCTCTTTTGAGCTCGTTGAAACAATATAGCGAACCTAATACACAAATGTTTAATCACCGAAAGTGGTCAACGGACGTAATTAAGGGCGCTGCTTTCCTCTTTAGATCCCGATTGTGAGCGCATCGTGACGTAGTCTTGAAACAATCGCGTCGAACGCTGGACAAAAAGTCGTGAAAAAGAGCCACGGCCCACGGGAAGGAAGCAAGGGTGCTGCATAATTGCATTCGCGCAGTCACACTTTCAGTTTCCCCATGGAAGCTCCCGCCTATCTGGTGTGCCGGTCGCCGCCACAATTTGATGATTGATCAAACGAGCACGCACACGAAGCCACAGTCAATTACAGGGATACGTAACACATACGTGACCTCACATACAGAGTGCGTGGTTTTCGGCAACTTCTCATCAAATGTCTTCCCGCGCCAGCAAATCGCTTCTGCGATTGAGGTTTTCGTTGCGAATGAACATAAGATATGACGCTTGAGAAGCCGTCCATTCGCCTGCCGAATCCCATCTAGCCGAATAGTACTAGTGCTAGGTACATACCTGACCACTGTCTCCAGGTGTCGGGCCTGTGGTCGGATCCAGCTAGCACTTTGCTCTGGCTAGCAAGGGCATCGGGTTCGGCTCCTCCTGTAATTTAGCTGGTATGAGCATTATCGTTCTTCACGTTAGAGACCCAGGCGAGCAATTCTTTGCGGAGGCGAAATTACGCGCATTCTTATACGCTGCGCTTGTGGCTAATAAAGGCAGCCCTAGCACGGAGTGCACTACTCCGTACTCCGTACTTGCTACCAGACTACTGCGCGCAGTCCACGGTTGCGCATCAAGTACTCACAATCTTTCTAGCTATGTCACTCTCACGTTCATCATGGCCTCTGTCTATCAAAGAGGCTCTTCGTCACTTCTCGAGTCCAGCCCGACGCACTGCGACGAGACGAGGCCGCGCCCCTGTTCGGACTCCGGGCGGCTGTTCAGGTTGACGAAGGGCCCGCATCCCTAGCCCATCGCCCCATTCAATTCAATATTCAAGTGCTCGGATCCGTGGTCTCCACTGTGTGATAAGTGGTCGGACAAATTTACTTGTGTCCGTAGTACTTCCTACTATTGCGCTGCTAAGCTTTTTCCCGAGCACGTACTTGGGCAAAAAGGATTGAGAGGAGGTAATAAATCTCAAGTCCCGTCGTGGGCTGGCACCAGGTTGACCATTGAAGTCGACGAGAATGTGGCTGGCACGAGATTAAAATAGCGGCTTTATCTTGATCAACCGACGACCCATTCTCACCGGAGCCAGCCGAATCGACTTGCATGCGTATCTGCGGCTTACACTTTGATCCAACTCACATGCACAAGGGACCTCGGGGATCCGAGTCTTCATCTTCTTGGCTCGGAATTTCTTCTGACAGCGAGCTAGTCTGCAATTCGCTCCGCTTCCTCCTACAAAGAGTCTTGACTCTCGAGAACTCTGCCGAGAGAGGACTGGACACAAGAGCATAGACAGGCGCCCTCGATCGTCAGCCTACTTCGTGGACAAATACGGGCGGCAACGTTCTGGGTCAGCTCGCCATTCGTATTGCTCCTCGCCCGTCATGCGCTGCTGCTTATGGAGCCGACGTGGCGGCCACCCTCAGCTTACCGTGCAGCCGTCTATCGACGAGATGCGTGATCTCGTATCTCTCGATACACCGAACGGACAAGCGCCATCGTTGATCGTGGCCGACCTACCAGAGCCAGCAGCACACCCAGTCTCGAAATCTCAGTATTTCAAAACCTTGGGGCTGGGGATATATAGATCTACGAACAGCCTCGCAGGCAGGACCCTGGCGATTGATCGATTCTCTGTGCAGCTGGTTAATACGTAGCGCCATCAGCTGCGTGCGCGACGTGGCATCGCCAGCGTGAAACATCGTCCCGACAGCCTCAGAGCCGGTCGTTTCTTTGCGCGATCTGTTGTTTTTCTCCCCATTGCCGTGCCACCGTCGACCGATCAGTATCATCATCATCATCATTGCCTTTATCAATGGCCATTGTGCCCTTATTGTTGGCCCCGTACTCTAGCACGCATCGTGCAGCACGTAGGCTAGACGCGTCTTGCTGCAATCATCATCCTCTAATCTCTTTACGAGGAGACTCATGTCATGCATGGGGAACCTTTGGCTCGTTGCCTGACTCGAGGCTAGCGGAGTTGGCGATCCACCATTTCGCTCCGCTTGTACGTGGACGCGCACGCTATTCAGCACGTGGTGAACCTCGCCGCGGGAGACAAGAACCGTAGGACGATGGTGATCATCAAGGCGTACTCAGAACGTGTCTGTCTCTTGTTGCGTATACGGGATCGGATAGTACAGCGACCGTTGGTTGGGTATCGGCTAGGTGAAGTTCTAAGTTAGCACGTGGATGTCGCCAGTGTAGCTAGTGTAAGCCTAATAGCACGTACGGTGCGTGTTAGATGTTGTCCGATTAGAACTTCTGTGTCCAAAGCCGTCCAAGTACAGGTAGGTATGCTTGGTTAATTGCCTCACGTCGTTGTGTGAGAGCCAGCCAACACGCGCAAGATGACTCTGGCTGCGACTCGTCCTCGATGCGAGTAAAATGTTCAAGTTATATCACGGCACAGATGACAAGAGAGAAGCCAAAAGAAATTGCGAGCGTCAAGTCGCGTTTGCCACGGCGAGTATGGGGGAGATTGGTGAAGTGTCCCTATGGGACCGATGTGGACGGACCCCAGAGCCCTTTGCTTTCACGTAACGTGAGGCTTCAAGCTGTCAGACAATCGCATCAGGCAGATATCCGTCCTCTGCCGTACGACACCAGGACCAGCTGCGGATGAGCCATCTCTCTGGTGGCAAGAATGGCCCAGTGCCACAGACGGGTCAATTTTAGAGTTCCGATCCGCAAGACGAAGAGAAACCACCAACCTGGGCAAAATTGGACGGACTGTTTTACGAGAATCGTGTTCTCATAATAGACTTTCTGGCTAAATTCCGCTGATGCTAGCAAAGGGCAGCAGTTTCGCCTCAGCTCTCAGCTCAAGCTCGTGGGAAGGCTACAGCAAGACACACCGTATATGTTGACCATTCACTGGGTTGGACTACCTCTGCCAGCACTTCTTGCACGCTCGCTGGTGGTCAATTGGTACGGCGTCCCAGAGTTCTCGTGTCCGTACGGTCAGGCATCACAGACTACTGCACGCATGTGATCCAATATGCATTTTGACTACAATCTACCCTCAAGCCAGGCAGTTCGCTCGCCCACGTGAACAGGACCATCCCGGACCCCAGCGAGGGTAGAAGTATTCTACTCCAGCTAAACAAGCAAGTGCAGACCATCTCGACGGCGCAGTTTCAATTTCCAAAGAACCGCACCGTCGGTGAATGCATGCGTGCCTACGCGTCGCGGGCTCGATGCCACGAGATGCTGTGTTTCAAGCCCCTCTTTTGCGATCCCCGGTCAGATCTCGCCGCCAAGTGCCTCGAGCTCCTTAATCACAGAGGTTTTGGTGTGGATCTTCTTCATCTGGGTGTCCTCCAGCTTCTCGCCGCCGGCGTGGCGCATCTCGAGGTCTTCAATGGCCCGAATCTTCTTTTGCAGGCTGCGCACCTTCTTCGCATTAGGATCTTGGGAGGCAGCCTGGTCACTCATGTGACTCGCAGCACCAGACTGGCCCTGTGGCGACCGGCCCTGGTTGGCGGTGCTGCGGCTCCTGCCATTGCGGTGGTTGCGCGATGCGTCGCGCGGGCTTCGTCCGTTGCGACGCTCGGGGCTGCGACCGCCCTCGTGAGCACCATTACGCTCCCGGGGCGGCGCGAGACTGGCTCCACCGCTGGGCTCAGGTTGAGGAGCTCCCTCTCCTTGTCCTCCCTGGCCACCCTTCTTGCCGCGCTTCTTCTTGTTCTTCTTAGCGCCGTCTTCTCCGGCTGGATCAGCTCCTGGTACGGTCCTCACAGCAGGCGTCTCGGTCGGCTCAGCTCCGGGGACAGTGCGGCGCGTGCGGCCAAACCCGTTGGGTCCGACATTCTGCGTGCCGTTGCTGACGATGTGAGCAGCACCGCCCTCATCCTCACGCTTGAAGTGCAGCGGAGTAGCGCCACCGCGAGCACCAGGGGGTCGGTAGGCACCCACAGGCTTGCTAGGGGTCTTTACTGTGCTCTGGTAAGCTTGAGCTGATGAGTGAGGCACTGGGATCGGTGCCAGCTCGTCACCGCTCGCGACCGACTCCGGGGACATTGGGCGCCACAGCACGTGGTAGAGCTCAATCATGTCCTCGTTGTACATGACTGTGCCACCAACGTGCCACAGCCTCACACCGTTGTCCACGCGTAGGCGAGGGGATGTAGTAGCGGTCATGATGTACTTGCTGTCAGGGCTCCATTCGCAGACGCTGGGGTTGCCACTCTCAATGGTGCACACCTTGTGATAGTCCTTCTGCATGTCATACACGTCGATCTGTCCAGCCAGGTTACCGAAACCAGCCACAAGGACGAAGCGGGCATTGGGCGAGAAAATGATTGTGTTGCGGGGGCCCAGAGGGAACGTCTGCTGGGCGATCGCGCGGTGGTTGAAAATGGTCGTCTTGGCTGGCATGAAGCCGTAGACGACACCGAACTCGCGGCCATTGGGGGACCAAGACACGTCGTGAATAGGGCCTTCCTTGTCCAACGTCACGCGAGCATCAAAAGCGCCACTCGTGCTGAGGAGGTACAGGGTCGTCTCGCCGTAGTAGCTTTTTCCAGAGCGGTCGACCTCTGTCTGCGCAAGCACCAGAAGGCTAGAGCCTTGTTTGTTCCACTTCAATTGCACCTTGTCGCCCTTGAAGAAAGTTTTCTGTGAAATCGGGCTGTCGAACATGGGGACGTTGAAGACTTTGACAGCAGCGGGTTGTCCCTAGGAGAAATTAGCATTGTATTTAAAGGAAGAGGGGCGGGGATCTTACTTTGCGCTCAGGCACAAAGACTGCGACGGCGTGGTTCTGGGACCCGGGCGCAAGGGCATAGTTCGAAGCACCCTCGACGCGCAGCTTCTTCCACACAGTAATCAGATCGTGGCTCTCGTGGAACTGCACCTCGTTGGTCACGAGGCGCGCGCAGTACTTCTCGTCGGCAGTGTATTGCAAGTTCCAGTTGCCTTGCTGCTTCTGCACGTAACTACCGACAGGCGTCTTGTCCTCGCCCGCGACGCCATCTTCAGACGTGCGCCAGATCTTCAGGTTCTTGGTCGCATCGCCGTTTTCGTCCTTGCTCGGTCGCTCCCATGTGATGACATAGGTGCCACGGGGCGAGAAGCCAATTTCGTAGACGTTCAGAAGCGGCAGGTAGAGGACTTGGCTACCTTTGGAGGCGTCGACGACAGTGACAGCCTCGGACGAGGCATAGCCGAAAAAACGGCCGCACGGGGAGTAAACGCAGCACCGGAGGTTTCCTTCAGGCTTGACGAACCCAGGAACTGGCTCGTATGACGGAGCCGCATCGAAGAGACCAATGGTCTTCTGGGTTCGGTAGGCAAACTGCAGTGGAGACGCCATGGCTAGTGAAAGGCACAGTATCTACCGCGAGTGGTTTGCTGTCGTGGGGATTGTTGTAGTGTGTTCTCGTTCCGAGATCGATGCACAGGACAGATCGTGGTAGCTCGACAAGCGGTGAGCCGTGCAGGCGTTTGGAGGGCTGGCTGACAGTGTACGTGTCGGCCGTGGATCTATGCAAGTACGTGTGCCTTTCAAGTATGGCGAATCGACCGTTGCTTTCTCAGTGGAGCCAAAAGACGCGTAGGGGAAGCCGTAGCACAGTCCGTCGATGGGCAGACGATGGCGGGGCTTTGAGCACGCGGACGTGGGTGGGCAGCAAGGTACAGCACGTATCTAGCTGGCTGGCTTTGGAGAGTGATGGAGAATCCGCGGGGAGCGTCGAGAGACGGTAAAACTAGACAATCGCCCACAGAAGGGGATGTGAGGAAGGGAAAATCGAATTGGCGAGGCGGAGGCCTGTCGCGGTGCGGTGCGGTGCGCTGGCAAGAAAAGACGACGACGAAGAAGAGAAGAGAAGCAGAAGAAGCCGTTCGAGAAACTGACTTTGTGCCGCCCGACGTTTTCCTCCCCGTTGAGTTTTTCCCGCTGCACCACCCGCACTGGCTACAGTGCCTGGCCCAAACGGGTCTAGCGGCCTGGGTGGAAGAGGGGCCTTCTCTCGAGGGGCCTATAGTGACTGAAAAAGCCAATCACATGTTCCTGGTTTGGTTCAACCATGGAAAACTACCGACTGTCGAGAGCTACATGTACACCTCACAAGATGCAAACCAGGGGACATGGCTTGACCACTTGGTAACTGTGATCAAACACACTCGCGGAGACATCATCACCGTCACAACCACCTGGAGAATCATAGGTACTTTGGGCAGGGTACTGAACTCCAGTCCTCTCCTGGCACCCCTTGCTTCGACATGGGTCTAATTATCTGCCCTTGACTTTCTCCTTCCAGCCTCCTTTCTCAAACAGCCAGAGCGCCTCCGTGGCGAAGGCTTGACTACCTCTGTGTCCGCCTTCTATGGAAGCAGCCTCGTTGAGCGTGTCCAGCACTCTGCCCTTCTTCATGGCGTTCCAAACGCCCATGGCAATGGGATGATTCTCAGTCGTGCCCCATTCACCTTTTCCTAACCGAAACAGAATGCGCCCCAGAGTCTGATACGCGATACACCTCTGCGCAGGTACGGCGCTGCGTCCCAAATGTGCTAGCTCTGCCACTGTGTAGCCAGCCGCCTCGGGGGCTTCACCATGATGATGCAAGCCCTTTGATGATGGTATAGCCCGGCTTACCCTTGGTGAAAGAAATCGTCCCTTGAAGTCGAAGCGCAGCGCCGACACGGGAATCTGTTCATGAGGGTAATACGGTGATTCTTGGTCGGCCGTGCTGTCGGGTGTAGGAACCGGTGCCATCCAGGCGAGTTTGCTTGGGTCGCTGGGTAGGCTCGTAAAGTATTTCTTGTGCAGCGACTCGAGAAAGTTTGGATCATTCGGGTCGAGATCGGTAGGCGGCGGCGCCGGGAAATGCGTTTTGTGCGGAAGGTCCTCCATGGCATCCAAGTTTGGCCTCTGCGTGGGTTCCGCGTCCTCATCGTAGTCGTTGGACAAGTTCACATCGAAGCGTCCTGTGGGGAAATCATCCTGCTCTTGCGCGTCCACATCTTCATCGGCTACTGATGCTTCTGCGAATCTGACTTTGGGTTTCGAAGGGACCTCAGCTTGTGCTTCTGCCGTTGGACCTGCCAGCTTCTCCGTATCATTCTTCGCAGCATGCGGTGCTGACGAGGAGTCATCAATAGTAGCTCGCTGCAAGAGTCTTCGCACCAAAGACGGATTCATCCCACTCAGGAGCTCCCGTTGCGCCTCTGCGATCTCCTCTGGTGACATATCATTCAGCTTCTGGCGGTTCTCCTCATCTATCCTCTGCTTCTCTATCTCGTCATATGTCATCTTCACGTTCGGTTCTGTTGATTGCGGTGTCGCTTGACTCGGCGCGGGTCGTGTCTGTGATGTGTGTTCCTCGTCATTACCAGCACTTCTCCGTTGCTTGAACGCAGACGCCTTCTTCCATCGTCGCTTGTGTTGCGGAAAGCCTGTGCTGGAGACGCCTTCCCCTGCGAAATCATTCGCAGGTTTCGTGGAGGCATCGCGCTCCACAATGTCGCCTATTAACGCGCTCGGATCCATGTGTAGTGGGTGCGAACTGTCTTGCGTGAGCGATGAAGAGAGAGGAGTGCTGGTGCAACTCGAGATTTTCGCGATAGCGACGTCAAGTGTCGGCGATCTGGCTGCACCCCACATCGCCTTTGGGCTACCCTAAGCGCTCGTCTCGGCATGACCCTCGTCAGTCAATATGGTGTCCAAATAGCCACAGGAGTTAAATGAGTGTGCAAGATAAGCACAGTGAGCGGCTCTCATGCGCACAGAAAGTTTGTGTTGTCTGATCCTGATGATTCTAACAGACGTTGGAAAAGATCATCCTTTCAAGTTTGTCAAATGGATTTGTGAAGCAACCCTACTTTGATCAATCTATTGTTGAACGTCGCAGAGCTATAGTTCACATGTTGACCGGACGAAAGAAGAGATGGGAAGGCCGATCGAGTCCAAATCAATAAACTCCAAGCATTTCAACACTTTTTATACCTAATGATTAAATTCCCGCCTGCGTTGCTGTCCGAAGGACCATTGAATGATCACCGCCACAGCTCACGCACTAGCCACATCACATGTGCATTAGCGCCGATCAGCTCCCATGTCTGTTATTTCTCACGGACATTTCGGTCAATCCGATCTGGCGACAACTGTCAAGAATTCAAGTGCCTCAGAGAGCAAAACGAGATCTTATGGAAAAATTAAGGTGAGAGGTATTGCACGTAGTGTACTGGCCTGAAGTCACAGCAATGACGTCTGCTTTTGTAATGCTTTACTGTCTGATCTGAACAAACGAGCCCTACTGCACGCAAGCAGCGCGCGTAGGGACACGCGAGTCGCGTGGTACAGATTTGTGGGCATGTTTCTTCAGAGAATGGTCAGCCTGACAATGAGGTCATTGAGGTAGGGTTAGCATATGTTCACATGATGTATGTAATTTTGTGACATCTCGAATGTGTATTTGGACGCCCATCACAAATTCTAGTTTGAGAGCCGCGATGAGTCGCGCTCTGGATGCATCGCGCTTATGTGACCAACCACAGCGGCAGATGGGGTGTACCCCTGTCACTTGCGTGTGTGCCTGGCTGGCACCGGCGGGCGGGCCCCCAGCAGCCGTGATCCCGTGCATGCAGAGAGGTCTGCATCACGCTGCATGCACAAAGCTTCGCCGGACGTCTCATTGCTAATTGGGCTATACAACACGTCTGAAGCGCATTCGTGTCTGGAAAAGCCCAGTCGACGTCTGAACTCGTTCTCGTCCGACGGTGCGCAATGTGCATGCTTGGGAACGAGGGACTGGCCCGGTACTCGTGGTTTTTAAGTCGACTGCTGATTATTCCAAGCCCGCACTAGCAGCCGCCGATCTGGCATCAGATACCCTACCCCACTCCTGCTTTCGCTAGTGCTAGGCGATGTACCCCGGGACGCTGGTTGGCTGTTTTAGATGCACTACTACAGTCCCCTTCTCGGTTCGGAAGGAAAGAATAACGTGCCCCTTCTGAGAGTCTGAGGTTCCGTTCGTTGAGTCGTTGCTTTGCTGGGCATGCGCGCCAGTGCCTTTTGGTCACCGTCTGCCTGCCTGCCTGCTTGCTTGCCTGAGGAAGGAAACCCCGTAGACCCCCTTCTTGCTGGTTGGCCTTGCCAGGCCTCGCCCCGCGAGGTTTGCCGGCTTATTAGTTGGTTTGGCTGTGGTTCCATTTGTTGCATTCGGTCGGTGGCCCGGCTGAAAAGTGCTTGCCCATTTGTTGCGTGTCTGTCATCGGCTGCTGCTGATAATTTCCATTCAAGCAATTCCGTTGCGAGCATCCCCCGTTTTTCGATACCCTCCCCATCTGCCTTTCTCTTCCCCTTCCCAACTTCTCCTCTCACCACCACCACAAAACCACGCAATTCCACCACGAGCACCATCTTTAATCATCAATTTCGACGCCATCACGCGTCTTCACCATTTCCAGGACCCCGACATCTTGTGCAACAACTTCTCTACTTGATTTTCGCTATACCCATTCATGTCTGCGGCACTCGCGCAGTCCTTGAATTGCAGGCTGAAAACGCGTCCAGTCTCGCAATCGGTCGCTGTCAGGCGCTGTGCCTGACCGACTCGAGGTTCGTGAGGCTATTCCCATATCTCGCAGCATTACCTACCCCCCCCCCCCCCCCCTCGGGCTCCACTCCCGAAATTCAACCACCTCGACGTCAGGCAGCGCAATCAATCCGCCTATGCACGTCACGGCATTGCTACAAGCCTTCAAGTTCCCCAAGTAACATTTTTTTTTATTTAACTCTGGCGTTGCAACGCGTAGTACGCTACTGACATATTTATTCTCCAGTTCCGAGCTACTTTCTTGTTTTCCTCCCATATATGGCTGTTTCCTGCGCTTCATCACCCGATTGCTAGGCACGCGGTTGCGGAGCAGGGTCTCGCGGCTGCCGTTAGCAATTCTCTGGAGAGACAGAGGGGCATCCGACAGTTCTGCACCACGTTATGGACACGTCGCGCTACGAGTCTTCGCCTGGAGAACTATCGTCACCCCCATCTGGACCATTGTCGGAACCTGGAACGCCGTCGCGAAAGGCACACACCAAGTCTGCGGCCGGCCGTACCAAGATGGACGAGGAGATCATGGTCAGTGATGATCAGCGGGCCAAGAACTCCGATAATAGCTATATCATTGAAGCCACCAAGGAGGAGGATCTGGGCAACGGCACAGTTCGCAAGTATGGCCTCATCAGCGGCGAGTGGGTGCAGCTGACAGCTGCCGGCGTGCCCAGGAAGAAGCCCGGCCGCAAACCTGGCATGGCAATGAAGCCGCGAGGGGAAGGTTCGGACGTGGAGAAAGCACGAAAGCCTAGAAAGCCTCGTGACCCCAATGCGCCACCTTCGCAGCGCAAGAGGAAAACCGGACATGCGGACTTGGATGGCATTGAAAACGCCGGTCCATCAAAGGTCTTCGCACTTGGTGCACCCAACGAGCCAGTTCCTCAGTACTCGCGAGCCGAGCAACACCAACACAGTGCCCCTCAGCAGCCTCACCACCAGCTTGGACAGCCCCAAACGCCATACGACCAGCGCAACTCACCAGTCGTCGCCAAGCGCGACAACTTCACCAATAGCATGCAGAGCATCCTCAACTCCGACACCCCAGCCCGCCCTCAAAGCTCTGCTGGGACAGCCATGCCTGTGCGATCGAGCGGTCAGAGCTATGACCCGATTCGCGATGGCAAGTACGATCCCGTTCGCGAGTCCATGGGATTCTCCTCCAACTCCGGATCACCGCGAGCCCCGAGCCAAGCACAGCCTGCCGCTGCTCAACGGTCACCTTCTATCGCGAGCTTGCTGGACCCCCATGCATCAGCTGCCCAGCGGTCACCTGGCCAAGCGCCAGGGCCAGGGCCAGGGCAAGGCCTCGCCACGGGTCACAACGCATTCCCGCCACCGCCTTCACGCGTGCCAAACGAATCTTCAACGCCTCGATCTACTGATTTCCGGAAGGAACAAACACAAGCAACATCGGCACCGACACCTACTCCCAAACCTGTCATCAAAGAGAGCCAGTTCACCACCATCGCCAACGGCCCTGTTAAAAGGTCATCGCCCAAGCAAAAAGCAGCTACGGGAATGTCAGCACCTCAGGGGGAGAATCTTGATGACATGCAGGAAGGCGATGGCCGCTCCATCCTCGACTTTGGACGTGCGAAGCCGGGCGAGGAGACGCAAGCACCTACGATTGTTCTCGATATCCCCATACAGGTCGGAGAGACAAACAAGTACGTCAACTTCCTGCGCCTGGCCGAGGACCGCTTTGGCTGGGATGCACTCCACCCTCGTCTTGCGGCGGACCGTGATCGCAAAGCGCGCATCGCTGCTGCTGCGGCTCATCTGGAGAAGGCTGAGTCAGGTCGTGACTCTGACGACGTCATGTCTGACATGTCGGACAATGAAGGCAGCAATCTCGACAATGGCTTGGCGAGCGGAGTCGATGCTCAAGCCAAGCCGAAGAAGAAGCGCATCATGAAGGAAGACAACTACGACATAGATGATGATTTTGTTGACGATTCGGAGATGCTCTGGGAGGCACAAGCTGCGGCAAGCCGTGATGGGTTCTTCGTATACTCTGGACCGCTGGTCCCGGAGGTGGAGAAGCCTGAGCGGTACGTATTTTTTATTAATGTGAAAGAATTCCTACTGACAATTCCGCAGACAAGAGTTGCCCAAGCGCGGACGCGGGAGCAGAGGAGGCCGCATGGGCACTAGAGGTGGCACCACACGCGGTGGTGCTTCATCGGGTGGCGCTGGCCGCGGTGGTGGCCCTGGTTCTCGAGGCGGCACGACCACACGGAAGCCTCGCATCAGTAAAGCCGAGAGGGCCCAGCGTGAGCTGGAGAAGTCGCAGCGCGAGCCGTTGTCGAAGCTCGGTGAAGGCCCTGCACCGACGCAATCTATCCATGCCACGACGCCCAATACCTTTTCGGTCCCGGAGCTCGGTGCTTGAGGGCGACCAGCGAGGCACGGCACCCATATCCAACGAATTTCTCTCTCGTTCGATACTTCCCGGTCGCTTTGTACAAATTCATTCGGCTAGAGATGCATTCATCCTGAGCCGAACCAGGACACGGCGCATCTAATTCTCCGACTAACATGTCGACATGGACATGGCATCGCATTGCTTTTCGTTGTGTTCGAGATTTGGCGTTTGGTATGAGGAATTCACATCCGGAGCGTTTTTGCATTTGCGTTTCGTGGGCGCGTTAGGGCAGGCCGAGAGGGCGGTCTACTTTGTAATGTCAGAGAAGGGCGATAGGGTGGACTGCCGTCGGTCTACTTTGTAATGTCAGAGAAGGGCGATAGGGTGTGGCGTGGAGAGAGATGCTGCATGGACTGGCGTAGGGAAAGGGAGCATACCGATTTCTCAGCCTACGGTATCATCTATCATAGCGTGAATGATCCAGTGTTACTGAGAGCTGCCAGGAGCAATCACACGCTTGAGTACTATGTACACCACAGACTTTCTCCGTGTGAGGAGGGAGATATAGCTTTAAAAGAGCACCGTTTCCCCCAAGTCTGGCCTTTATCCACCCATCACCAGTTCACCTGCTCTCCATGAAAATCCAGAAAAAGGGGCCGCCTGCGCTTTGTCTACTGACTTGATCACTCAGGCAATGCTGAACTCGGACACCTCGCCCATCTCATTCTTCGCCTCGCCACCGACCTTGTACGTGGCCCGCCATCGCATTTTGACACCGTCCACCTTGGCGGCCTTGTTGCCTGCTTGGTAGACATTGACCATTTGTGTGACGCCGCGGCTCTGCTTCGGAGCCAGGTCACGGCCCGTCTGTGGGTTGAGCTGCAGCTCGTAGCCCTGTGTTCTTCTTGTCAATACGTGATGGCCCCTCGGAATAGAATCAGGAAAAGCGAGAGACGTACCTTTGTCACGGCCAGCTGGAAGTGCAACTCGCTGACAGGCGCGGCGGCATTGTTGGAGAAGGCAAAGTTGACGTTGAGAGCGTTGCGCCCGGCAGGTCCACGTCCAGCTTGCATCTCAATGCGGACGGTCGTGTCGCTGAGGATCTGGCGGTGCTCCTTTGGCTTGGAGGGCGTCTCCGCCGGCAGGGCCGACGCAAAGTTCCACTCGTCGTCCTCGACGGGGGGAGCCGTCGGTTTGGGGGGTTGCGCGGCCGGCACCGCAGCGCCCAGGGAGGCGAACGGGTCGCTTGCGGGCTGTGCGGGAGGGACGAACTGCTGCTGCGAGGGCGGTTGGGGTGTCATGGACTGAGACCCTGACGGCGAAGCAAAGGCGGCGAACTGGTTTTGCGGAGGGGTAGGCGCCGACTGCTGCTGTGATGTGTTGTTCTCTGTCAGGGACGACAGCAACGCTGGTCCAGGGATATCTGTGTCTGTCAGCCCGACGTACTTGGAAGCATGTGATTCATGTCACTCACTGTCATTCTGGCCGAATCCCAAGGAGATGCCACCGCCTTGGCCAAAGCTACCCGAGTCACCCCCAATATCGAGGCCTAGAAGATCATTTTCGATACCGCCAGTCTGTGATGTGCCTTGTTGCGCCGCTGGTGCGTTTTGGCTGCCGCTCCCGTTCGCGGATGGCTCGTTGTCAAAGTCGATGAGAGACAACTCACCAGGAGCATTGCCGATGGTCGTTGTCTGAGAGGGCGCGGGGCCGCCGGCCGCGACCTTGGCGGCGCCCTCCATGTCGCCATTCTTCATGAGGCTGTATCGTTCGATGGTGCGGTGTATGCTGTCGTTGATCTCAAAGAGCTTGGCCACCGCCTCGTGGTCGTCCGACTCCTCCTCGCACATCTTCTGGATCTTGGGCTGCGCGCTCTGCAGTGCGGCGGCCAGCTCACTGAAGACATCGCCGTCCTGCATCTTGTCGCCTGGCTTGAAGGCCTCGAGGCGTTCCTCCAGCAGGCGGGCCTTGGCCTGGATCTTGCCAATCTCCTCGGCGGCCTTGGCGCGGTAGTCGGTCTTGGATCGGGTGTCGAAGCCAGCCATGACCTTCATCAGTCGATTCGCCTCCTGCAAGTCATGCGGTGTGCCACGGCGAATGAGCTCCTGGAGCTTGGCAGACTGGGCTTCCTTCTCCTCTTCCTCCATCTCTTCGGGGGACTTGAGGTTCTGGTCTGGTCAGCTCCTGATACTCGCTCACTGCTGCTGACACCCTCTCCTACTCTCGTGAAAACTTACATCGCTTGGGTTGAGCACGGCTGCATCTTCTCTTCGCACCTCGGGGAAGACGTAGCCCTTGTAGCTCAGCAACCTGTGCATGTCGCGGATGAAGCCCAAGTCATCCTTGTAGCGACTTGTCTCGCACAACGTCAACCGCCACTCCTCAATCGCCTCCAGAATCTTGGCCTGCACCCTCGTGGGCCGCATAGGCGGTCGTTCCGGGAACCGTCGCACCAGCTCGTTGAGGAATTCCTTGGTGCTGATCTGCAGGTGGAAGGGATACCCGCAGTTCTTGACGCAGATGTCGAGCAGGTTGACGGCGAGCAGGGCGACATTGGGGTTGCGGTGGTTGATGTAGTTGACAATGGCGGTCGCCGCCTCGCGCGGCGCAGTGCCCTTCTTGCTGTTGATCAGGTCCGAGATCTCGAGGTTTAACGCGAGGTTGGGCTCGTAGTTCTCGGGACTGCACGCAGCTTGGATGAAGCGCTGGAGCTGCGAGGGGGCGCGACCGAACTCGCCCCAGCGATCGCGGGCAGCGGCCCTTGCGGAAGCCGCCTCCATGGCGGTGATGTGCGTGCGCGTGGCTCTTCAGGAGCTGTCCGATATCGTGGACGAGCGTTCGGGGAGTTGTCCAGTCCGTTCGAGGAGTGGTAATCTAGGTGCGTGTTCGCAAGTTGGGGAGAAGATGCTAGTATTGCAATGCTTGTGAATAATGAATGAGACGCTTGGGTGCAGACATGAACCTCCACAGACAGACACAGCTGTCGTTGGCTGAGGCTGGAGCTGTTGGATCTGCTGGATCTGCTGGAGAGGGGCGCATCGACGGGCAACGCTCGCTGTGGTTGAGGCCATTGACGTCGCCCAATTGACGTACGTACCATGCCTCGACGGAGGAGGTCTTGGCACTGCTGACTGTTCTAATCCGTCCACCAATGCCTGCATGACTCGAGGCTCAAGGTACCGGACGCTAATTGATAATCCGCTCCGGTCATGACCCCGCCTGCCAAAATAATCCGGGCAGGTGGCCCAAGCGAGAGTTGCCCCTCCATACTAGACTGGAGTAATAATTAATTATTATCAGTACCCAGCGATCGTCCTCACTCTGTTGCTGATACTTCCACCCGCCATCAGAGAATCTCGCAAAGCACAAAGATCACGACAACACCGACAGAATGGTCCGACACAAGAAGGATTTTGGAAAAGGCAAGCGCGGTGGCGCTCACTCTGGTCCTCCTCGCTCACGGCGCACCAACGAAGATGGCACGCCCGTCGTGGTCCCCTTCAAGGCAGCTTGCTGGGATCTCGGCCACTGCGACCCGAAACGCTGCTCTGGCAAGAGGCTGATGAAGCTGGGTCTCATGCGGCCCCTTCACGTCGGCCAGCGACACAAGGGCGTCATCATCACTCCCAACGGCAAGACGACAATCTCCCCTGCCGACAGAGAAATCATGGATCGATACGGCGCGGCGGTGGTGGAATGTTCCTGGGCGCGGACGGGCGAGATCGTGTGGAACAAGGTTGGTGGCAAGTGTGAGCGACTGCTGCCGTATCTCGTGGCCGCCAATTCCGTTAACTATGGAAAGCCGTGGCGGCTGAACTGCGTGGAGGCATTGGCAGCCGCGTTCTTCATCTGTGGCCACCCCGATTGGGCGGAACAGGTGCTGGAGCCATTTTCCTACGGACAATCCTTCTTGCAGATCAACTCAAGTCTGTTGAAGCGATACGCCGCCTGTACGGACGAAGCGGGCATCAAGCAGACACAGCAAGAGTGGATGGAGAGGTTGGAGCGGGAGTATGCGGAGAGCAGAGAGGACGGAGGAGGTGATATGTGGACGAGTGGGAACACCAATCATCGAGAAGCCGTGTCGTCAGATGAGGGTGGCAGCAGCGATGAGCAAGAGGACGAGGACGAGGACGACGAAAGTGTGGACGGGATATACCTGGGCAAGAAACCCGCCAAACCAAAGCCTGAAGAGGAGGAGGAGGAGGAGGAAGACAGAGATCCGTACGCGCTATCAGATGACAGCGACGACGATGCCGCCATGGAGGAGGTTCGCCGCAAGGTGCTTGCGTCCAAGACGTTTAGCAATCCACAGCCAGACGACAAGAAGAAGCCAGAGACGATGCCGCGGCAAGAGCAGCTCAGGCCGGACCACGGCGTCAAGCCAGACTCGGACAATGAGGACAGCGACTCTAACGGCGAGGATGACGATGATTTCGATAACATCATCGACGCGACGCCAGTCACCGACAAGATTGGGCTTGCCAAGCTGGACAAGGAGAGAGAAAGAGCGGCCATTACGACTAAGACGTTCTCATCGGGTAGTGTCGCGGCGCCCGGTAGGTGGTAATATGCAATACATGTTGTACATACTCTTGGCGTCTATATACCCTCCCTCTCCATGATCTACTTTTTCTCGTCGTGTACACTAGATTGTTACAATGTCCTTGCTTCTTCGATGATGTCGTATGTCTGGATCTGGTCGTCAACTTGGAAATCCTCAAAGTCCGTAAAGGCCATGCCGCATTCGGAGCCTTTGCCCATTTCCATGACATTTCGTTTGACCTGTTTGAGAGTGTCTATGTGGCCTATGAGGGATGTTAGCAATCTGGTATACTTGTTGAGATGTCTTCGAAGAACCTACCGTCGTATATAACCTTGCCTTTCCGCAGGATTTTGACTCGAGATGTCTTCTTGATGGATCCGTTTCGCACCCTGCACCCTGCAATGTTCTGGTATTTGCGGCCCTTGACGTTGATGGGGAATATTTGCAAGACGTCGGCCTCGCCGAGCACCTTGTGCGATACGCTCTTGGGCAGCAGCGCCGACAGGACCGCGCGGGTCTCGTCGACGAGGTGGTAGATGACGCTGTGGTCGATGATGCGGACACCAGCCTGCTTGGCCATCTGACTAATGTGCGGCAGGATCGCGGTGTTGAAGTTGACAATCACGCTGCCCGAGGTGGCGGCATGATCGACGTCGAACTCGGTGATCTGGCCTGTCCCTTGCCGGAGGACCCTGGAGCGAACCTCGTTGTTGCCCTGCTCGAGCACGGACGCGACGACCGCCTCCACGGAGCCGGCGACGTCCGCCTTGACGGTGAAGTTTTGCGTCGTGATCTTGGGGCCGGCTTCTTCGGCGGGCGCGTCCTCGCCGAGCTCTTCCATCTCCTTGGCCGCGGCTTCAGCTTCCACTCGCTCGCGCTCCCGCGCCTCTTGCTCAATAATGTACGCAGAGTCCTGCTGTCGCTGTGTCATCTCTTCGCGGTAGTCAACGGCAGTCTTGGCCTTGTCCTCGTCGAGAGCCTGGAGCACCTGGGTGCCGGCCGGGGGCAGGTCGCGCCAGCCCAAGACCTCGACAGGCGTGCCTGGTGGCGCCTCGGTTACTTCGGCGCCGGCCTCGTTTCGAAGGAGTCGGATGCGGGCCCAGCTATGACCGGCGACGATAATGTCGCCCGTCCGCAGGGTGCCTCGCTTGACGAGCACCGAGGCGACCTTGCCATCCTGCTTGATACTCGACTCGAGAACCCAGCCTTCGGCCATCCCGTCCAGCTCGGCTCGAGTGTCCAGCAGCTCCGACAGTGTGACAATATTCTCCTCGAGGTCATCCATGCCCTTGCCTGTCTTGCCGCTGACACAGACCGTCTGCACGTCGCCGCCATAGTCCTCAATCTGGACACCATGCCTCGACAAGTCCGCCTTGACCTGCTCGACACGCGCCTCTTCCTTGTCGACCTTGTTGATGGCCACAATGATGGGGACCTTGGCATTGTTCGCGTGCTTGAGCGCCTCCAGTGTCTGGGGCTTCACGCTGTCGTCGGCGGCCACGACGAGCACGACAATGTCGGTGACGTTGGCTCCGCGCTGTCGCATTGTCAGGAAGGCGGCGTGGCCGGGAGTGTCGAGGAAGGTAATGGGCTTTCCCGAGGACATCTTGACGACGAACGCACCAATATGCTGGGTGATGCCACCGTGCTCCTGGGCCACGATGGACGACTTTCTGAGGTAGTCGAGTAGAGTCGTCTTGCCGTGGTCGACATGACCCATGATGGTGACAATTGGTGGTCGCGGTGGCAAGGTCGACGGGTCCTCTGGCGCTGGTCGTGGCCGTAGATCCCTCTGAGAGCCATTGTCGACGGTGGGCTCGAAGCCATACTCCATGGCGACCAGCGAGGCCGTCTCCCCGGTCATGATCGTGTCCACTGACATGTTCTCGAAGCCCAACTCCTCCAGATCGCGTAGGAAGCTGGTCTCGCCCTGCTTCATGGCACTGGCAAGGCTGGAGACGTTGATGTACTCTGGCAGGAAGATGGGGACCGCCTCTGGCTCGTTCTGCTCCGCCTCCTGCTCCTTGCGCAGTCTTCTCTCCTCTTTTCGCCGTTGCTGCGCCTCGTACCGCATAAACTCCTGCTCGTCCATGTCGTCGTTGTCGTACCTGCCTCGTCCCTCGTTTCGGGACGGACGCCCCGACTTTTTGCGCTTGTCGGCCTTCCTCTTCGAGTAGTCCTCTTGTTGTCCATCTTGTACAAACCGTGACGATGGGCGAGGAGCCATCTCTTCGGTGGGCAGAGTCGAAAACAGAGTGGGTGTCGCCATGGGCGCTACAGGTGTAGGCTTGGGCGCGGCCGTCAGCCTCGCGTCGAGGTCACTCCAGAACTCCCCCTCGGATTGCTGCGCTCCTTGCTCTCGCTCCCTCTTTTGCTGCGCAATCCTCTCGCGTGACTTGGCCGCCCGAGCCCTCGCGTCATCCGACTTGCGCGCCTCTAGCATCGCGTCGAAGCTAGTGATTTTTGGCGAATTATCTGCGGGCGCCTGGTCTGTTGCACGTCTGTTGACAGGTTTCCAGTCCTTTGCTGGCGCATTCCAAGAAGGCGCCGGCGTGGTCTTGATGGGCTTCTGGGGTGCGGGTTTGGAAGCCGCTGCCGGGGGCGGTGTCTTGATATCCGTTTTGCGCTGGCTGAATGCGCCCCAAGCAGCGGCTGCCGGGGTCGCTTGGGGAGCTGCTGGCTGAGGTCGCTTTTCCAGGCCCTCCGTCTTGACGTTGTCGAGAATCTTGTCGATTTTCGAGCTTGACCTTACCTGCTCGGGTTCCTTGTCACCGTCTCCATGGTGTTCGTGACGCCCTTTTCTCCTTGGTTGCTTCTGCGTCTCGTGTTTTCGTCTGCTGTCTTTATGTTTGTGGCGATCGGAATGGCGCTCTGTGCCGCCATCGCTACTTCTCTCAGTCCGCGACGCGTTCTTGGCTGGCGACGTCTTTGGCGGCTGGGGCGCCGGCGCTGGTTTAGGGGGTACAGGATCACTTATTGTCGCCTTTTTCGCCGCGAAACCACCAAATCCTCCGCTCACAGCGCCAAACCCTCCACTGACAGGACCCTTTGACGCTGGGCTATCTCCGTTTGGCGAGTCGCACAGCAAGGAGCTCGTGGAGAAGAGACGGTGTCGAGAAATGCAGTTTGCCGTCGCTGGCACACGGAGGGCCTCATTTCGTAGTGTCGCGCGACATCTCGAGGTGGACTTGGCCAAGGGCAGCTGCCCACGGCAGAAGTGGCAGATGTAAGAACTGCTGCGCTCCTGATTCGAGTCAGTATTGCGTAGGTCGAGATCAGACAGAGAGGCCTGTACCTTGAGTATAGGAGCTCTTAACATTGCCGACATGTGGTGACGCCGAGATTGGCACCGGTTCGATGCTATAAAGAAAGCATGTCGCGTTCGCGTAGATGACGCTGGAAGTCTGTCTGGTCGTCTGTCTGTGGTGGAGCTTGGCGATCGGCATTACGCTGCAGCCTTTCTGTCGGAAATTGTCCGCCTGCAGGGTAGATAGCTGCCCAGAGTAGGATGTCGGAAATAAACGAGCAGCTCGCTCGACCAAGCTCAGCCACCATCAAGAGCTACTCAGCAGCGCTGACAATTTACTCGTTGGTCAATAATCTGCCAACTATTCATCCAATTGTCAAAGAATCACTGCTTCTGATTCAAAATTAGCAGCAAGGTGCTGTGAGTGCTCTAGAGCACCGGAAACCAACGCGCGTGTGAGAGGATCAGAGGACCCTTTTTGTCGTCATCTCCATCTGGACCCTGAAAAGCTCTGATTGACGTCTTGCCTCCTAGTCTCACACCATCAAGGGAGCAACACCAACCCGAGCATCTGCTCTGCGTTCATCATGGCGCCTGCGAAGAGAGCTGCCAAATTCCAGTCAAAGACCGGCACCGCCGCCAAGGACGGGAACGGAAAGCTTCCCGCACCGTTCAAGAAGCCCTCCGAGGTCCTCCAACCCTTCATCGACACGCTCTCCCCCAAGCATGTCTACATCACCCATATCGACAACCACCCTGCCGACTTCAAGCGCAAAATCTTTGTTGTCCCCGTGCTCATGAACATTGCCATTGTCGGCCTGTTCTGTCTCCGTGTCTGGTGGATTGTGCCCTACTACATCCAGCTCCTGGCCAACGGTCTTGGCCAAGTGAACGAGACAACCCTCAAGGTCGAAGAGGCGTCGTGGTCCGACCTGGCTTGGGAGATTGGTGGCAGGGCGCTCAACTTCTTCTTCGACTTTATCCTAGTGGTATTTGTCTGGCCCTGGCCCCTCGAGTTCGCGGCAGGATGGAAGCATGGAAACCCTTGCCAGTGGCGCTGGGTCGTCGGCTTTCGCCAGCAGGAGATCTACGTTCGCCGCTCTCGAGAGTGGGACAGTGCGCTGGGTGACATTTTTCTGGGCAAGGACTCGATGAAGATCCTGACCCATTACATCGCCGACGCAACAAACCCAATGCGCCAGGAGCAAAAGACGGGCTACCTCCTCATGAATGGACAGTGGGACCTCGACTGGGCCGGCATGATCGCAGCACACACGCTTGTGGACAAGAAGGAGATTGCCATTCAAGCTTTCAATACCATTGTCCTGATCCACACCGAAGAGCACGGCTGGCTGCAGTACGACGTGAAGAAGCAGGCGTCCACAGCCGAGGATGCGAAGCGGAGGCAGCTGTTTGCGTTCAGGGACGCGTTGACACGGCTGGGGAAAGAGGATCTCTTCTACCGATGGGTGGAGCTCGTGCAGTACGAGGCCGACGCGCCGGGTGGGTTTAGCAAGGAGAAGCAGGACAAGGCGGCGAGCAAAATCCGGGAGCTGTTTGAGAAGGAGGGTGTTGACTTTGATCAGTTATGGCGGGATACTGTTGATGCGGTTGATGCGTCGGCGCAGGTTTGAACGAGGTATTCCCGTGGGTATGACTCAAGTTTTTGGGCACTTACAGGACGAGTGCTCTTTTGGTATCGACAATGAAGCCTTGTTCCTGACGACGATTGATTTTCTTTCGGCGCCTCGACTCCATCTTCGGCAACTCGCAGAGTTTGCACGGGCCAGGACTGTGTATTGCTGAGGAAGCGTGATGGTTATTGAATCTGCTGGGCTAGGATGACTGACTCGGGGGGTCTTGCTTGTTGAGCCCGCTCCTGTTTTACATCAGCGAACGGTAGAAACAAGCCTGGAACAGGCTGTTCCAGACCTCACCTTCACCGGATATCACCACTGCTAGCCTTATGAAGCCCAGTAGATTGATGTTCTCTCCTTTCAAAGTCAAGATGATTTATTCTGAGCAGGAAGCCTCCTGTGCAAGGAGCCGAGTCGATGAGGCTCCTTTGCAACAACGATCTCGACCAGCCTCAACTAATCCTCCCCATCCCCTTTGGCATCACTTCAAGATTGATTGCCCCGTGAAGACGCTTGCTCTTTCCAACCCTCATAATCAAAGTCAACGAGGCATCTACTCTAATCCGCGCAACAAACTGCTCTCCAGCAGAAACATTTCGATCTCGGGCCTGTATCTCTCCTTGCTTTCGCATATCACGGCATACTTCAACATTATTCCTACTCGTCGAGGGATTTCAGCGCAAGGTGCCATTGCCAGAGCCTCAATCCTACTATTCTTACTACGATAAAAACCCAGTCTTGCCATCTCAAGCTGAGCAGGCCCGCAAACGTCATGTCCAGGCGAAAACAGTCCTTCGCCCTTTCCAAGCTCTCGTCACGAATATGCGATTCCGTGAGGATCATGGCTGTATCTTTGCTCTCACATTCAAAGCCCACGAGACAACGCTTCAGGGCCCGTCAGTCCGCACAGCAAGCAACTCACCTTATCGCATCACTGACATCCCGGGCAAGGGACTGGGAATGATGGCTACCAGAAGACTCACAAGAGGCAAGCGTATTCTCACGGACACGCCTCTCATCAGAACTCACATGAGAGATAAGTCCACTATCTCCATTGCCCAATTTAATAGCCTTTCCACCAGCGGGCAGGACCAGGTCCTCAGCCTGGCCAACATCTGCAAGCATGGTCATCCCGTTGTCGGCATCATCTGGACCAACTCCATCCCCCTCACCCTCAATGGCAACGAGGCAGGCCTGTTCCCGCTTGCCTCACGAATCAACCATTCCTGCGTGCCCAACACCGTGCACTCTTGGGACGAAGAACGTGGAGAGTTGCGAACACACGTGATTCGCGACATCCAAGACGGCGAAGAGATCACCAGTTACTACCCCTCCTCCGTGGCCGAGTACGCACTTCGCCAGGGCCACTTCTGGAAATTTCATGGTTTCCGCTGTGCTTGCACACTATGCCTCCTCCCCCTCGCGGAACGAGAAGCAAGCGACAACCGCATCCGCCGGATCATCGTTCTCGAGCAGAGCCTGGACCTCGCCTGGCAGCACAGGCGACACTGCACACCCAAGGGTGCGCAGCTCAAGCTCGTCGGGACGTTGCTGGATCTGTACCGCGAAGAAGGCATTGCTGACTGGCGCCCGATGCAGGCACTCATCCGCGGCTCTACCCTGGCCACGGAGATGCATAGCGACAGGCGAGCGACTATTCTTGCAGAGAGGGCTTACAAAATGTCCATTGACCTGCGGGGACATGACCATTCACAGACAAAGCAAATGGGAGGACGAGTGATCCGTATGAAGCAGTGCTTGGACGAGTGGGGAGGATATGGCGCTGTGGAACGTCGACCGGCAGAGATGACAGATGGCAACGTCGACAACTGGCTATACCATCGGAGTGGTCCGGATGTCGACCTTTGGGGGTGCACGGAAGAGCAGCGTACGATGCAGTACGGTCGGTGATCCGTGAGTGGTCTTACGGTGTGCGGACGCGGTGCTAGCAGAGAAGCAGCGAGGATAGGATCTAGGCATCTTCAGAGAAAGAGAGGAGATCTTGCCTTAAGACAGAGGCGCCTTTAGAATTTGAAGATACTCTCCATCATGCTACAGTAGGCTCGCATTGTTTACGTTGCCCCTGAGTAGATGAGAATCCGACATTCTCATCTGGAGAAGACATACTCGTATAATTCGCTGAGAAGAGCCTCATAGTTCCATACAGTTCAGCCTAAACATTAGCCGCAAGCAATACATGGAAAGACGACTGACTTCCCAAGGCCAGATATCGGGTATTCATCTCATGATCGCTTCCTATATCATCTCGAGTGTCCATGTTACTCCGGACTTGCGTGTAGGCACTAGGACGTGCTGGGTAGCTGGTCTTCGACGCCGAAAAGGGTTCGAACGGTATGATTACGAAAATCGCAAGCATCGGCATCTATCCTGCTGGAACGACGCAGTGACGCCTTATCGACCACCGAATGATTTGTCTCGAAGGCCACGGTGGCACTGACTGGCGCACTCCAAGTCAGCAGTCAGGACGATAACCTGTTCCGTGGTCTTCAGAATGCCGATATTCTTGATGCAAAAAGCAAGCCTCATAGTTTCCTGTCTGTCCGTCTAATTTGTTCCAAAAGACAGGGCGCTGCCATTGTTAGATACACTTCTGACCTTTGAACTCTGGTCGTAGCCTCGTAGGTAGTCAGGAAGTGAGGCTCAGAGCCTCAGCAGCCTCAGCTGCCAAGTGAATGAAGGCCATTTACCTTACCCGGCACAGCCATCCCAACGCCCTCATCCACGAATTTGACAGCGCAGCGCCCTTGAGCTCGTGCGGCAGTCCCCTTTCCATCGTCACAAAATCTAAAATTAAATAAAAACCAATCCTCCTTCGGCAACACGCATCCTAATAATATCTTCGACAGCGCATCCAATGGCCTTGTGAGCCACCACGACGTCGCCACCATCCATCCCTAAGGTACCCCCAATCTCTCGCTACCTGGCCGAATTGTGGACCCTCATCTTTCCTTCCAGCGACCAGACGTACCTACGTTGGCGGCGCAAAATATTCGGACGATCACAGCCCTGCGACGCAGCCTGCTAGCGAGCTGCCATTGCCATCATCATCTTCGACGTGCGAACCTAGGCTTCGCCCACGCCCGTTCTCGTTTTTCCTCGGTTGCTGCCGCGCAGCTACACACGACAAACCGCCATTGACCTAACGGGCGACGCGTGCCCCCGACCGCTCACCAATCCCCTATCTGTCGATCTAGGCTAGACAATCCAGTCTAGTTATCCACCACAGTCCCCCCCTTCGCACCATAGCCCAGCAGCCATCGACTGACATGTCTTCGGGGCTGACAAGGCGCCGTGGCGCTGGCGGTGCCGCGCAGAACCTCGCAGACTCGGAAGCCACACCCTCGAGAAACAGCTCGTCCCACAACGTCCGCGACGCTGGGCCCGAGACCAGCTACGACACGAGCGAGAATGGGCACAAGATCGCCTTTGACCCTAGAGACATGAGCGAGAGCGCCGAGCGCAGCAAGCAGCCCAAGCTCACCATGATGGAGGAGATCCTCCTGCTGGGCTTGAAAGACAAACAGGTGCGGATCATCTGACCCGCCCACGGGACGCACCCGTCGAGCGAGCGAGCGTGTACTGACAGGGCGTCACAGGGCTACCTCTCCTTCTGGAACGACAACATCTCCTATGCCCTGCGCGGCTGCATCGTCACCGAGCTCGCGTTCCGCGGGCGGATCAGCATGGAGAAGGATCCCGCGCGACGACGCTTACCGCTGGCCGACCGGAACATTGAGGTGATTGACGAGACCATGACCGGCGAGGTGCTCCTCGACGAGGCCCTCAAGATGATGAAGCAGAGCGAGAAGATGAGCGTGGCCACCTGGATCGACCTCATGAGCGGCGAGACGTGGAACCTCATGAAGATTGGGTACCAGCTCAAGCAGGTGCGTGAGCGCCTGGCCAAGGGTCTCGTGGACAAGGGCATCCTGCGCACCGAGAAGCGCAATTTCCTCCTCTTCGACATGGCCACCCACCCCGTCGTCGACGGCGGCGCCAAGGAGGAGATTCGCCGGCGCGTCCGCAACGTCCTCACGCAGCGCACCGTCGTTCTGAACGGGAGCCAGTGGCTGCCCGAGACCCTCGAGTTCCGCTACCTGCGCACCCTCGCCATGGTGTGCGCCGCCTACGCCGCCAACGTCCTCGAGAACGCGCTGTCGACGCTCGGCCACGAGGCCCGCGAGCGGGCCTTTGCCCAGACGGACGAGCTGCTCGCCGACTACAGCCAATGGCCCTTTGGCAAGAAGGCGACGGGCAACGGCATTGGCGCCAACCTGCCGCAGATTGTGGCCGAGGTATGTGCTGACCTGGACTTGGTGCTTGCCACTGACTGCAATGACTGACTGACACGTCACAGGAAATGAGTAAGAACAAGGACAAGGAGCTCCAGCTCGAGGTCGTAGCCGCCTGCTTGAGCGTCTTCACCCGCCTCGACTCGCTGCTGTAGGTCTCTTGAGTCGAGTCGAGTCTCTCGAGCCTTGGCCTGGCGCGGCCACACTATATACGAACCCTCTCGATCATGACTCGGCGGCCCGCCCCATTCGACTCGAACCGTCGCTTTCATATCCTTGCGTGGGACCCCTAGTACGCATTTCCTTCTGTTGAGCCGGTCGCACAAACTATGATCGGGGGGGGGGGGGGGGGGGGGGGCAAAAAAAACAAAACAAAAAAAAAAAAAAAAAGAAGAGACCGGCAGACAGACGAGTAGGAGAGGTGAAGTGGGTGTGGAATGAAAGGGG